TAAATTTACAGTTTCTAGACCAAATAGGAAATCAGGGAGAAAGAGGAGTAGTGAAGAAAATAACATTTTCAAATAAAATTCAATATCGAATAGCTATTGCATTTAATATAGCATTTATTAAGTTAAAACATAATAACAATTCCGTTTTAAGTAAAATAAAAACCTCAGATAGGTTAAGAAGATTAAACTGGGGAATCAATTGAAATGAAATATAACGATTGTTAGAAATAGTAGATACTGAAATATACGGCGAGTTCTAACTTAAAGTCACACAAGGTAGCATGATATTAATTCTTTTATTTTAAATCACTATATTACTAACGATTCAGCAGGGCAGGTAATGTCTAAACGTAGTAAATTCACTTTAAAAATCAATTCACCAGAATAATAGTATTAGGAAAAGAGCTCAGGAAATGATGGCAAGGCAGTAATGTCAATGATAATGACTAAATCCTCAAAAGACAATGAAAACCGGAGAATACAAATTCTCAGAATCTAGTACAAAGGAACTGAAGCAAATACAATAAAACAGGGGATACAAAATACACAAATATGTTGCGCCATGCAACCCGATCCCACCATATAATATCAATATCATAAGTCACTCTTATTCCACCATATTGATCCACCCTTATTTCACCTGTTGCAGCGTGCAACCCAATCCCACCGTACAATAAATACCAATATCATAACAATAAATATAGTATGTTGCGGCGCGCAACCCGATCCCAACATATAATATCAATATCATAATTCACCCTTATTTCACCATAATAATCCACCCTTATTTCACCTGTTGTGGCATGCAACCCGGTCCCACCGTATAATAATAATATCACAATATAAATGTCCTCCCTTATTTTACCTGTTGCGACGTGCAACCCAATCCCCTGCACAATAATTTAAATCAACAACAATAATTCAATAACTCAATTTATAAGAATTTTTACAACTAAGAGTATGAGTACAGGGCAACAACAGAACCACGTAAAAATCAAAGGAATACAACAACCTTTACAAAATAACTGGACATGTAAGGCACGTGATAACTACGCAGACAATCACAACAACTTGGACGCGTAGCAAATATGGACGTAGTCATAGAAGAACTCAACAATTAAGAGGTAACAAGACAATAATGAAGGCAATGACTACAACCAATGCATATAAGGGCCAAATAACAGGTAAGAGGTAAATAAGCGCTAACCACATCATATAGAGCATGCAAGAGTAGTCTAACAACGAGATACCACATGTTATGACAATTTAATCAAAAGCATGGAATGAGACTAGACAATCTAAACCAGTCAATACCACATATAGGCTGTGTACCCACTCGTCACCTTGCGTACACAACTTTCATATAACAAGATAACACAATTAACTCAATTCCAAAGGGGTGGTTTTCCCCACACAAAGTTAGACAAGACACTTACCTCAATTCGGCCAACTCAATACTCAATTTAGCTTTTCCTCGACCAATATACCATCGCTCGGCCCAATCTAGCCAAAGACGACTTAAATAAATCAAACAATGCAAGAGAAAACAATTTCAATTAACAAAACTATGATCATTATACAATTTGCAAAAAGTCAACAAAAGTCAACTCCCGGGGCCCGCACCTCGGAACCCGACAAAATATACAAACCCAAACACCCATTCCGATACGAGTTCAATAATATCAAAATTATCAAATTTCGATACCAATTCGTCCTTCAAATTATGATTTTACATTTTGAAAGAATTACATTTTTCCCAAATTTTCCTTTAGATTCTCATGAATTTGGTGTTAAATCTAAGATATAATCACAAAATGTAGTTGAAAATTGATTAGAGGCACTTACCCAATGATTTTATATGAAAATCCTCTTTCAAAATCGCCCACTCTTGGACCTAGGGTTCAAAATATGATAAAATGAAGCTAAGTCCCAAAATGGGAGTCTTAATACCAGCCTCAGATGTCGCATTTGCAACATCAGGATTGCAAATGCGACAAAAGTATCGCTAATGCGAAGGCTGGCCAGCTTTTTTCAGGTCGCAAATGCGACACATTACTCGCAAATGCGAGCTCTGGGTCTTTTGCAAAAGCGACGGTTGCGTCGCAAATGCGGAGCTGCAATCGCAAATGTGATGAAGTGGTTCACAATTGCGAACATCCCTGCCCTAGCTCATCGTCGCAAAAGCGAGAATGATCTCGCAAATGTGATGAAATCCTCGCAAATGCGAGAACAGAGACACCAGCATAGCTGAACCTTCTTCTAACACTTCGAAACGCGTACGAAACTCATCCTAGTCCTCGGGGCTCCATGCCAAACATTCACGCAAGTCTGAAAACATAACACGAACTCGCTCACACAATCGGAACATCTAAATAACCTCTAGTTACACAAATCGGATGCCAAAACACATGAACTTCAAGAACTTCTAGAATTGCAACCAAGCACCGAACCATATCAATCAGCTCCAAATGACAAAAAATTTTGCAGGCAAGTCCCAAATGACATAACGGAGTTGTTCCAACTCTCGGAATCGCATTCCAACCCCGATATCACCAAAGTCAACTCTCAGTCAAACCTTTCAATCTTCCAAAACTTCAACTTTCCAATTTTCACCAAAATGCTTCAAATTACCCTACTGACCTCCAAATCCAAATCCGGACGTAAGCCTAACTCCAAAATCACCACCCGAGCCTATCGGAACCATCGAAACTCCAATTCGATGCCAAATACTCAAAAGTCAAATCTTGGTCAATTCTTTAAACTTCAAGCTTCTCAAATGAAAGTCACTTCTAAAAATCCTTTCCGAACTTCTCAAAAACTCGAACCGATGATGCACGCAAGTCATAATACAGTGTGCGAAGCTACTCGTGACCTCAAACTGCCAAACCGGACGCAATTGCTAAACACGACCAGTCGGGTCATTACAAGAAACTCAATAAGTTTCTTTGAGACTTACTACAACACAATGTCTATTGATAATCAATTTTATTCCTCCAAAATAGTAATAATTGGCTCTTCCAGATTTCTCAATTAATTTTGTACACCGCATATTCATCAACAACCATATGGTGAATATCTCTTTTAAAGAGAAAGTTGTATCATTATGGTTATGGTCAAAATTACATGCAAGATCTGTTTCTTGCATTACCATTGTCTTTTAATAATCACATTGCCAAAATATTTTGGCTAATCATAATAGGTACGTGATCAATGACTATTCATGCTATAATAATGGAATCATATTTCATCTCAAACCTCTTTCTAGAGGTGAGTGTGGCATATTCACTACCACTAGCACGTTCATATTCTTCCGAGTATGAATATATATTCATAAATCACATGTTATCACATTTACATCATGAATGGACCATAATCATCTATACATGCTTTACAAAATCTCATGTCAAATTGATGACAAACATTACTTTCACAGAGTGAAGGATTATTTTGAGAATCCTTATTATTCTCATTATCACGATGATGACGATTATAATTTCGTCTATTGCCACGTCCACACCCATTGATACATTCATAGTAATAATTTTATCTTCTTTCAGACTTATCACATGCTGATATCGCATTCTCTTAAGGGAATGAGAATGAAGCAAATTCAATGAGATGGGTTTCCACTTTTTTGCCCACAATCATACATGAATTTGATCATGGCAAGATAGAGAAATTTTATCACTTCTAGTGGTTATAATTTCTTACTAACTCCATTAGAGTTATAATCAAAATTTATTATCTTTGCTTATATTTAAAATCAAATTATATAATGTTAAGAATTTAAAAGAGAAAAATAGAAGTAAAATACTTACCTTATATCCAAAATTTAATCATGAAGGAAGTTCATGGAACAATTGACAATCATTATGCTCAATCCCAAAGCTTCTACTCAATTGGTTAGAGTCTCGTGCTGATAACGTGTTATAAAACAATAAAAAAAAAAAGAAGAATATTGCAGAGAAAAGTAGGGAGAGAGAATTCTTATTGATTTTGGGATAAATTACAGTGGAATAGAACCCCTTTATTTATAGGGAAAAGTGACTTAGCCACCAAGTAAAATCCTTACAATCTCTCTAAAATATAGACATTCACCTTAAATAAAACTCTATTTATAACAAAAGATGAATATATGAGATAGATTATCTGAATGGGGGTAATCTTTGTTTGGAAATTTTATATATCCTTTTTTGTGAGTGTCATGGGAGTGAAGTGTCTGTGAAGTAATTGTGGTCTTGAATTGGCATTTTTAGACTGAAATTTGGATTATTTCACAAAGTGCTGGTAAATTTGGATTATCACATAGTTCAAGGATAAATTTAATTATTTTTCTTGTAAAAATTTTAAAAACTCACGTGTTAAAATATTTCTGTAGTTAGCTATCCGACTTCAACAATTAACAAAGGATAAATTTTGACCATTTCACAAAGTTTAAAGGCAAATTCAAACCTTTAAATACATATATTTTTATCTACATTATACATTAGATTAGTTAGACATAATTAAATAATGTGGCACTCCAAGTAAGTTCATTGCATGTGTGATAAATTAAAGTGAATTTGGGTTAGTATTAACGAGGGAGATGCAACATTGACGAAGCAAATTGAGGAAAGACATTTTCATTTATTAATTTTCTATATTACGATATGTAACTCTTATGTAAATCCGAAAAAATTAGAAGAATTAACCCAAATAGCAACCCATCCAATTATTTAAACAAAAAATAATGGGTGGAGGTATAACATATGCATAATTTATGTAATATATGTGTATAATCAATGTAATCTATGCATATGACTAGAAAAAGTAAACAATGAATATGGTCGGCTATTTGTGTAAAGATCCCAAAAAACTAGTCCTCCAGTCCACTTTAAGTGATTACGATATGTAACTCTTATGTAAATCCGAAAAAACTAGAAGAATTAACCCAAATAGCAACCCATCCAATTATTTAAACAAAAAATAGCCGGTGGAGGTATAACATATGCATAATTTTCTCCTCTCTCCCAATCCATTACCCAACAGAAAATACTGAAGATGGCTCAACACGGTCCGCCCCCAATTTACTAGTTACTACCCCC